AACAGATAAATACAAGAAATAATATAACAGATAAATCACCACCCTAGACACTTGCAAAATGCAAGTAACTCTCACTAGCTTTTGAACACCCTTCCCCAAAGTTTCTTCCCAGATRATCTCCCAAAGTTCTCATCATGCATGATGGCGCTATCCAGGCTGTTTTGCTGAGAGGGGGCTGTAAGATCAATCCTACATGCAACGTTTTGCTGGTAAGAAGTACTTATAAAGGAGTAAGTAAATGTGGTTGGGCGGTATAAGCTACAAAGTCTCTGTATTCCTGCCACCACACTCACCTTCTCTTTCATCTATCTTGCCTGCCATTTGCAGGTTATCTGATGAACCCTTTGCTGGCTCTGGATCCTTATTGGAGCCTTTGGTCCTAATTGAGTTCAGAGGAGGCTTGTTCGGGCATCCAGCTGCAAAACTGAGAGTCCGACAGTGTCAAAAATATGTGTCTGGTTGTCCACGGACAGGTCAGCAGGAGCAGAAAACTTTAAAGCTATAAGCTGACAGCAAGGTGAGGCCAAAGCACATCCAGATTATAACCACTTCAACCAAAAAGCAAAGTAAAAGTTGGCTGAAGTCTTACAGCTGTCAGCAGTCAGAAGACTAGTTATAAAGATCATATGGGAAAAAAAAAGGTTAAAAAAAAATGAACAGAAGTTCAATTTAACATGACAGAAAGCAATTGGTTCATTTTTAATGCTGCTAAAAGTTGTTATAAATATCCCTACCTGAAACAGACTTAGAAAATTAATTGCTTTTATATGAAATGAGCCCAATTATTTAACAAGGAAAATACAGATATCTTCAGGAATAATTGTAAGTAACAGGGTTTGAGTACTTAAGCGTTTTGAATGGCGCTCAATTTGGAGGAGTAAATGCTCCTAAATATGGCTAAGGGAAGCACAATTGCAGGTTAACCTCCTTGCTCCTCGCTCAGTGATACATGTTTAACTCTGAGCTCCCAGGTATTTACTTGCTTCATTTCGGAGACAGAGTGTTTCTTCAGGAAGAAGAAATCTTAATGACAGAAGGGGTCATATGATATTGAAATATATTACTGTAGTTTCATGGTTGCTTCTCTTTGTCTGGTTGGGTTGGAGCGAGCTGTTTGAGGAAAGTCAGTAGGGCAGCAAAAACGACCTGGGATTGATTCTACCTGTAGTTATCTCATGGTGAGATAAGCATTTATTTTAAGATCATATGTTCTTACAAGTATGTTCAAACACAGAAAATAATTAAGAGTTAAGGTTTGTGCCTTCGTCACAGATTTGAGACATATGGTATGGCATATTATGCAAAATTTTTTTATTCTAGTAATTGATATGAGGTATCAGTTACCATAATCTGTGACCATCCCTCTATAAACACAGAGTTATGATTTACATATAACTGCATCCACTGAAAATTGAAGCTATAGATATGGAGAATGAGCATCAGCATTATAATTCAGCTCTTAAAATCAGATCTGTTCAGCATGTGAGTTTGTGTGAACCACCCTGGTTTTTGGTTAGGAGACCACCTTGAAATCTCTGGTAAGGAATTAGGAACAGAGAGTCCTGGAGAAATGCCTGATCACAGCTTAGTCACAGAAAACAATTGATTTATCCCATGAATTGCCAAAGCAGGACAATGTATGGCTTCCCCAACCAACTGGGAAAATATCAAAAAAAGAAAAGAGAAAGTTCAAAACTGAAGATCTTTTCAAATGCTTTTGAGGAGGCATTATAATAATCTCCCAGACTGATATAGTGAATACAGCACATTGCCACAATTCTAATTTCTGTATAGCATATCCTGGTAGGTGTAAATTTCTTCATTTCAAAAGACTTTCTACTGAGAAGTCATAAAGCCACCTTTATCAAGGAAATTAACCATGAAATTATCCATAAGAATATAAAATCTCAAATTCCTGGTTTAGTGGAATAACTCTTCTGCTAGCTTGGTGTTTGAGACCATACCTTTGTATCTATAAGAGGTAGCAATCAAACCAAAAGCAACAACAACMAAAAAATACTTATTTCACATTGTGACAATCAAAAGAAAAACCTATACTGGACCTCTATTTTAGAAAAGTGTTTTTCTCCACTGTCCTTTTTTAGCATGAGAGATCCAATGGGCACAGATGTGTGAAAGCAAGGTTTGTACCTAAAGATCTTAGTGCTGAGTGGAGCATTTTGTTCCTATATAGGAACAAAAATGAGTCAGGAACTTGTACTGTTCAGGCTTCCTGTCTGTACTAGAAAGATAAATGCACAAAAACAACATTTAACACAGCCTAATGCTCAGCATAAATGGGCACTGTCAAGTTTAATACAATGTTAGGACTGGGAGATGCCTGCAGGCTTGAGCAGTTTTGCCTGATACCCTGCAACTTCTACAGTATTTTTCATCTTTGCAGATACGTAGGTATAGAAAGCTCCCAAAGAAGGATAATACTTTATGCCATAAGCTGCCAAGCTGTAGTACATGGGAGATATAAAGAATCAGAAGTCTCCAATTCGAATATGTTCCCAAATATGTTTGGGAATTCTATCTTTAACATTGCATGGATGCTGCCCCAGCTGTCTGCAATACCCTGTTGACTTCACTGCAGAGCCCATTCACAAAGATGAAGCCAAACTGTTGAAGTGAAATTGTYTTCTTATTCATCACTTATCCATCACAGCATATTTTAACCCAAAATCGTGGGTGACAAAGTGTTACTGAGGCTGAACATACGCCAAGCCTCCTGACTCACCATGAAAATTCTCTTGCACCCGTTGACCCCCTACCAAAACTTCATTTTTAACTTATTTATGAGTAACTCTGGCACTGAAACTCTTGACCTGATTCTCTCTCTGCACGCAGGAAGTCCAGAAACTTAAATCGGAGATTTCATTCRTACAATAGTAATGTGGCTCATTAGTCTCGCTTGGTGTTGATATATCTACTGAGAGAGCTGCCGCTCAGCTAACAACTGTRAAATGAAATCTGCAGTGGGAGAAGAAAGTTCTGAATTAAGGAGGAAGGATTTCTGATATTGAGTTATCGGAAATTTTACTTTTAAACACTTTCTCCTGCTCTTCCCTCTCTGTATGGTTACTGGGAAAACAGTATTTTCAGTTTGGTAATAAGTAGTACTGATTTTATATTTTTTGGAGTGGAACTGGTATGACTGACAATTTTTATCTCATCTTGAAGTATAAGCCTAACATGAAGCACATATTTAACTCCAATGTGAGACCAATGTGAGGCAGAATTTGCAGAGGGTGACCTCAGGGTGCTCAGTGAACAGGAGGCAATAAGTAGATGGTCTTGCATCTTTGATGAGGAAGAGGAAGGAAAAAGGCATAAAGTGAGGTATTTCACTTTAAAGAGGAATGTTTTACTCTCCTGACATGATCCCTCGTGATCCCCTTTCTCTGTGCAAACAATTCTCACTTCTAAACTTACCTATGTTTAAATGTTTTGTTGAAGTGGGATATAGTTTAACGGGCTGTCTGCGACAGAAATGTGATGCTAGCCATGTAAAGACTTGTCTGAGGAAGAAGAAAGCAGATTTTGCCTTCCTTCCCAACCAGAGAACCATGTCCCATAACTCCAAATAATCGCTAGCAAGGATGCACCTGCTCCACAGTAACTATTCCAGTCCAGAAACTTAGCACATGCAAAATGAGCCATCTTGGGAACTAATTAATAGTATTCTACTTTAAAATGTAATAACTAATTTGTATTTAAATCTGTTAATATTTAAAATATCAGTATGCAACTGYTGAGTAACTAAATTTAACTGAATTTAGAATAATCTGTAAGATCACAATRTAATGTCCCATTCTCACATTTAAGTGATCATCTTTGCCTAAATAAGAAAACACCAAGCAGGGACCTGTTTCTTACTGCTTTCAAAAAAAAAAAATGTCATTGTTCTTCAGTGAGAAAATTTTCCTTTCATGAACTCACCTGGAAAACAGTGTCACTGCAGAAAGGGTGCAGAAAGGGTGCAGGGTGCAGGATGTCCAAAATCCTGCATTATTATAAAGCAATTCTGGTTTAGTCATAGCCTGGGAGATGAGAAGTTATCCCTTCAAATCTCCCCACAAGCTGCTTTAGCCCCCCGACAAGGGGTAAAGGTTCCACTGTCTGAGGGAGCAATGTCTCTAAGCTTCCACTTCCAGTCCCAAAGGGTAAGAGGCTCCTGGCTGAGAGCTCTCGTGGCACCCAAATGGCTGTGATGAGGCCGGTGCAGCCGCCCTCGCAGGAAGAGGTGGGAAAAAAGGGTGCACTAATGGTGTGCCAAGGTGGCTGAGTCTGCTCCTGCCCATGARGTGAGATGCAGGATGGATAGAGGAAAAAAGGATTTATTTCACATGGAGTTCAATATAACAAAACAGGTCAAGACAGCCCAACAGAAAAATTCCCATCATTTTCAATTAGAAGGCAAACTTTATTTCCCAAGCTGCTGTGAGAAATATTTTCCAAAGCATACTAAGCCCTACTAGAAAACAGAATTCTCTGTTAAATATATACATATATATGTATATTATCTATATATAATTTAGTCCCTTCAAATTTGCATGGCTTCTTCTGTCCTTCCTTTCTCACCTGTCATCTACAGAAACAGCTTCTTTGACAAGCCGAGGTCTCAAAAGAGCCTAGAAATGAGTGGTCACAGCACAAGATCCACTGGAGAAGCCTGAATTCCCTGGGGCTGGAATATTCAGCAGCGGGACATGGGGAGAAGATCTTAGAATGGGATGTGGGGAGGGGAACCTGGAGAGGGACCGAGGGAGGGGGATCCCGCAGCAGGAAATGGGGAGGGGATCCTGGAGCGGGACACAGGGATGGGGCATGGGAGCGGGACCTAGGGAGGAGACCCTGGGGGGGACATCAGGAGGGGACCCCAGAGTGGGTCTCGGGGAGGGGATCCCAGAGCAGGTCTCGGGGAGGGGACCCCAGAGCGGGACACAGGGATGTGGAATGGGAGGGGGACCTAGGGAGGAGACCCTGGAGGGGACATGAGGAGGGGACCCCGGAGTGGGTCTCGGGGAGGGGATCCCACATCGGGACACAGGGTGGGGCAGGGGAGCAGGACTTAGGGACGAGAACCTGGAGGGGAGATGGGGAGGGGATCCCGGAGCAGGACACAGGGATGGGGTGTGCGAGCGGGACCTAGGGAGGAGACCCTGGAGGGGAGATGGGGAG